AAAACCATGACCGCTAACAAGTGGGCGGGGCTGTTGGGCGGGGCTTGCAGCAGTACCTAGTGTGGTCTAGTTCTCAACTGCCCATTGTAAGGGGTGTGTCCGATTTGATTTGAAAAGTGTCCGATTTGGTTTGAAAAGTGTCCGATTAAAGTGAAAATGGTATAAATAACCTGTATCACGCAAATTCCTTCAATATTCTAAATTTTATTCATGTATCCTCAACTACAGCATTTAAGGTTTATCGGGATCGAGTGAAATGTTATAAATTCCACTTATGAAAGATTTTTGTAGATCATTTACAAGTGATAAATTAGTTAGTCATGTAAGAATCGAAAACAAGCTATCAGTATTAATCAAAGCGATCTTTCGATTGACTGCGGTTGCATGACATCTTCGAGTGCGGCCCGTATCTGAAAAAAATTTAGTTGTCGATGGTTGAATTGCTGAATCCTTCAGCGATGCACGTTTTTGTGAGAGATTCTCATTTGCTGGACCGAAGAGGAGAAAGAAGATCGAGTGTTGAGAAGCACTTCAGTACTCTCACAACAGCTGGATATTCCCTTTCTATGCTTCCAACTTGTCCACACGGGCTCTCTTATATGCTCGGGTACAAGCAGTAAGCACGACCAAGACAGCGCGCTCTTCCAGCTCTGTCCCAATCTAGTTGTTTCTCTCGAGAGACCGATGAAAAGTTTGAGCAAAAACGAAAAGAAGTGCTCAGATTGTGGGATTGCTTTGAGCTTCCCTCCCGAGAGCAAGCTACCTTCATCGATTCGAGAAGAAGCCGATGAAGGCGGCGAAGGAGTATATGTGAGGAATTTCCAGTTGAAGACAGCAACGCTGTAGTCTACTGGAGATGACAGAGCCTATCATATCCAACCGTTAGAAACCATCCTAATATGTGTCATTACATAGCATGTCCTGTTTGGTTATGGAATTCATGGAGCTCGGCATCAAAGAATCATCGGGAGCCACTATCAATAAGCGATATAGGGAGAGTGGCATTCACAGAACGCGTTACAACTACAGTTTACCGCTACCTCTGACGATAGAGGAGGGGATATGGATAGTGTAGTGATTGATGTGTATACACAGGGGCGGGGGCCAAAAAAAAAGTCATTTTGCCTCCATGACTTTCAAGGCGCTATAAGTTACACTTTATTAAATTTTTATCGGACATTTTTACTACCATATTAAAGAGCACATTAAGTACTATAATGGTACTCCGCCACAGCCTTCTGGAGGAGCGCCATCGAAGCAGGATATCGTCGCGCAAATACGTGAGTGGGTCACGGAGTTAGCGAGAAATCGTTGAATTTCTCCGGCCACTGTAGACCACGCCTGTTTGGAGCCCCGACCGACACGCTTAATTGAGACAGGGACGGTTTAGTTCGGGCGACCCCGCTTAAACCACTCACCTTTCCAAGTTACTGAACGTTCGTTGCATTCCAGTAGCGAAAGTTATTTCCAACGCCTTCGATTCAGTCGGTCGACACCCAATGCTGTAGCACAGTACACAAAGTTTCCAAGAAGGTACGGGCGACGACATGTGGGAATATATTCTTCTTGAGTTGGTCGATGTAACCGCCAGCGCTCAGCTTCAGCCCGGGGTCCACGAAGAAAATATCGGTTCATTCATTCCATGTACGACCGGTCCATACCATCAACCCGCGCCTTGAGATGAAATACGCGGTCAAGATGATGTCCTGACCGTACGCACTTGCCGGGCTGCTCTCATTGGTTATAGAGGTCTCGACAGCATTAGCAGTACTGGTCTACCAGGTAAGCCCTATCCATGGGGTATTCCCATTCAAGAAAGTTTCTACAGCTTTTGGACGGCCACTCGTAATTCAAAGGCTTCTGCAGCTCAGCCGCGACTGGAGAATGACTTCATATTTTGTAGTGACCATGAAGGGTGAATGGCGGCAGCCGTCTTCCCCGCTGTAGTAGAGATAATCTGTAGCGTAGTCTTCCGCCCTGGTTTTCATATCCACTTCCTCTGTCTGGGCTGCGAAAACTTCGCTCATATGTGACTCGGCCGGAATGACTTTTTTTTTTGGCCCCCCCCCCCCTGTACACAATGCGGCAGCAATTGAGTGGTGAATTTACGTTGAATAGCGAAATCTCTGGAGTTCCCATTTTCTGCGGTGCTGTTTTGGAGAATTTTTCGACTAGACAACATATATACCATTTTTACTTCAAACTTCACCCTTTTTCAGAACCAAATTCACTTTTTTTTCAAACCAAATTCACCTTTTTCAAACCAAATTCACCCCTTTTCAAGCCAAATTCGCCCTCACTTTTCACATCAAATTAACCACACCTAATAGGGCGGACCATCAAGCAGCGTAACGCCATGAGAGCACCTGTTGAGCCCCGCCCGAAGGCCCTACGCCCCCTTATCAGCGCGACGTTAACTAGATTCGTACAAATCTTTTTCATAACTTCTGCTTTTGCTGTTTCCCACAAACACTTTGACTGGAAACGACCGGGCATTGACACATGGCCGACTCCGCCCATTCTCTAAAGGGTTTGGCAATCTAGGCTGACCACGCCCACTTGCTTTTCGCGGACTTTCGATATTTTTCAAAATTTTTGCATTTTTGGACTGCTACGTGAAGCTTCGCCCACTATAATGATCAGCAATACCCTAGCATGTCAGCCGAGACTCTATACTGCCGATTCAAAGATTAGAGATATTTAAAGTGGGTGGAGTCTCTGGTTACGTAGCAGTCCAAAAATGCAAAAATTTGAAAAAATATCGAAATTCCGCGAAAAGCAAGTGGGCGTGGTCAGCCTAGATTGCCAAACCCTTTAGAGAATGGGCGGAGTCGGCCATGTGTCAATGCCCGGTCGTTTCCAGTCAAAGTGTTTGTGGGAAACAGCAAAAGCAGAAGTTATGAAACAAGATTTGAGAATCTATGTCCGCGCTGACAAGTGGGCGTGGCCGTAGGGCAAGGCTCGCATGTCTGGCGATATCTGCTTAATCACTCAATGTGGCGACATGTGGTGATACTAGGAGTGAAGCACAGTGTTCGCTACTAACCAATGTGCAGAAGCCCATTATACCAGAACGAGTGTCCGCAATCGTGGAGGATGTTCCGCTTTTCCGATACCAAAGGTTAGATCCAATAGGATGTGCCACTTGATCTCGAAAGCCTGCTAAAAGCCTCCAATTTGCACAGAACTGGGCGAGTGTACGGCCGGCAGAGGACAATCGTGGAGATTTTCGCTCTAGAATCGTGCCAGCAACCCCTCTGGTCCATAAGGCCGCATATGTATTCACCTATCCATGCAGCACTACAGCCGCTTCACATCATTATAGCTGTACCTTGTTACTGAAGCGATGAGAGTATTAACAGTTTGTGCGGCTACTCGCGAGCTGGTGGTTATAGTGGGCGTCTGAGTCGGCACGGTAGGCATATTGCGGTTGGGCGCCATATAACCTCCTTTGGTTGGAAAAGGTGCCACGCAGTGAATGGTCAGTTTGTTCGAGGAGTTAGGGATGCTTTCAGATGCCAAATTCGTCATGTGGTATGATAAGGAAATTTAATGCGAGTTGTAGCACGCTATAATGTCCTAAGAAAGCCATAGAAAAGCGCAATTATAATTACCTCAGACATCCGACTCCTTTCTTCTGGATTCCCCGGAAAGCAACACTTCGTCATTATACTCCTTACGCTTTTTGGCATTTTTTCAGGAGGTGATAATCGATACCCAGCCGTAACCTTCAATAAGCACCTTCATGTTGTTTTTACTACTGGTTATCGAAAGCGGCACAATGAGCATAATTCAAGACGATAGCTGTGACTTTAAATTCTCGACATTCGCTGCATCGCATAATGATAACCTCCACCTATGAATCTCACGTTTGATAATCCCCAACGAGAATGTGTGCTAGATACAATTTTCGGTTTTCTTACTAACGACAACCTGAAAATTATTATTATGCTACGTCGCATGTTTCCTTGCTTCTTCTCGATACTTAAATCAAATTCTGTCGTTGTTATCACTTTTCTCAGGGTATGTCAAAAGGAAATCGGCCTCATCTTTGGAGGAATCGTGGCAAAAAAGAACACTGATGGTCGATTTGTCAAAGCGCACAAAGTGTAATCCATACTCACTTTTAACAAGAATTCCGTGAAAGTATTATGGACATGCTACCTCGGATGTCGTACCCCCGATCACTTCTTCTTGACTGAATCTTCTTGCCTAGGACGCCGGGAGCCACAATTTTACATTTTCCGACATCTTCATAAATATATAACCTGAGGACATTATTTACTAAAAACCTAAGGGCGGGATGCAGATCACGATGAGTGTTGGTATTAGCCCACCTCGGAGCTATTTTGCTAAAGGCGTATGAGGCAAGCGCGGACCAGCCATTTGTGTGTTTGTAGCTAGATTTCCCAGTTATCCATTTCCGGCCTCTCTTTTTATGCTAACACCCTTACTCCCTTCCTTATACTTGTTACTTAGCCGGTATTAACAAGATACCGCTGGGTTTGTTGAACGCTTTGCATGAAAGCTGAAGAGATTCCGAACTACCGGTTCCGTGCTTTGCCCAGTGCATAATTGCTTTAGCTGTGTGACTGGATTCCAGAGCTTCCTCATTTTGAAAATCTTCAAGACGTCATCTGTCTTGTTCTTCAGGTTGTTTCGTTCCCTCTGCGAAAGGAGGGGGGGGATTTAGTGAACAGTGACATATCCGCGTGCTGGTTTAAGCATCAAACACAGCTCTGTGTTCTCTGAGGAAGCTAGATTCACGGCAGCGGCGCTCTGTCTTTTTGATTCGGATTCGTTTATCCATTGCGGTTCTTAGTGGAAATTGCAGTATTAATTAATTAATTGGATAATTAATTAATTTATTCAGTGGAGGCTTGCTGTCATTCTCCTGAACTCATTCCTTTCCCTTGAAGGCACTCTAAAACTGAGCAAGTCAAAAGTATTAGGTTGGCTAATAAGTAATAGCCGTTTTTTTCAATTGAAAAATCTGTTCGAAAAGTGAAACGTTTGTTGGCATAGCAAGTTTAATCAATCATCGTAGGGAAACTTCTCGTAGTATAAGAATATCAAAAAAGCTTTAGCTGATGATATAGTTTTTGTGAATTTTTTAGTCGTTGAAGCTGGAAGTGAAGTCGGCGAAAATTAGGCAATCTTTCGACAACTGCCTCTATTACGATCTACCTCGCAAGTCGCCAAATCGCTTAAGCTGCTTCCATACATTTCGTGAAATTTTGAGGTAGAAAGTCTCAGCAAGGGAATCTCAATAGGACGCTTTGGAACTAATTTCAAGAATTTCAAAGCTGGCAAACTTCACCTTGCCAATATTGGGCAGTCTCACGTCTGTTCCACCTGAAATCATTTTTATTTCATGCTAATAGTTGAATTAATTGAATTTGAATTGATATTCTAATACTACGAGAAGTTTGCTATTAAACGATATTAAGCTTGCTTGCAAAACGTTTTACTTTTGGAACAAATTTTTCGATTGAAAAAAACGGCCATTACTTATTAGCCAGCCCACTGCTAGTGGGCTGGCTAATAACTGCTAGTGGGCTGGCTAATAAGTAATGGCCGTTTTTTTCAATTGAAAAATTTGTTTCAAAAGTGAAAAGTTTTGCAAGCAAGCTTAACATCGTTTAATAGCAAACTTCTCGTAGTATTAGAATATCAAATTCAAATTCAATTAATTCAACTATTAGCATGAAATTTCTAAATAGAGGCAGTTGTCGAAGATGCTAATTTTCGCCGACTTCACTTCCAACTTCAACGACTAAAAAATTCACAAAAACTATATCCTCAACCAAAGCTTTTTTGATATTCTTATACTACGAGAAAGTTTCCTATCAGATGATATAACTTGCTTGCAAAACGTTTCACTTTTCGAACAAATTTTTCAATTGAAAAAAACGGCCATTACTTATTAGCCAACCTAATACTTCCAACACACGTGTCAAACGGAATCTAATGGGGATGGTCCCTTTAAAACAGAAGATGCAGTTGAGTGTGTTCAAGTGTCCGGTCGCGCCTCAGGTTTCATATGTATGTTTCCTAATCGGAGCGGAGCAGAAGCAGACCACAAAAATATTTCCTATGATTACGCACAAGAGCGATCATCTCCCAAAAGAAAAACACGGTTGGTGAAGTAGCCTTATTCAAATGGTGTTGAAGGGAACTGTGTGCGTGGTCTCATAATGAAGTAGACGACTTAACCTACACCCGGAAAACTCGTCCGCCATTTTTCCGGGTGTAGGTTTAGGCGACATTGGAAAGTAGCAGTGGTCTCTCATCGAAAAAGGTGCTTTTCCCTCCTGTTGCTTTATAGGATATTCTTGTACCTTCCTGGCACGCGCCAAACGATATTTGCTGAGAAGCAAAGATTTCAAGAAGTTCCCTTTTTCAAAAGCGACTTGTTGGACGTTTATTTTTTCCTTAGGCTCTTTATTGGTTCTTGTTCTACCTATAACGCAGCATCATATTTTTATCAAATTCAAGAACGATGTGTAGGACTCCAGAAAGCGTCATGCCCTATAGAATCCTCAAAAGATCTGTTGACTGGAAAAAGAATTTGGCTCGAATCCTGAGCAGTATGACGAGGCGACTATCCTTGCTTTTTTGTGACGACTCGGTTTTCCAAGGTACGGCAATCATTTGTTTTATTTCACTCGAAAAAGAAATTTGTAGTGATGACAAAATTGGACAAATTTAAATGAAAAAAACGATGGGTGGTATCATGAATTTGTGACATTGACAGAGTGACACCTTCCGAGGAAGTCAACTAAAAATGTCCCGTTTTCAAAAGATAAATATTGCTGTTGACGAGCAAATTTGCACAAGCATCTACGGCACAATCTCTTCCGACCTCCCCAAAAACCTCTTTGAGTGTAGCTTTCGCGAGATCCATAGACGGAATTATCGTTACACAACGCATTGTATTTCTAAAAAGAACATACGCTTGCTGTCACTTCTACCACGCTCATGTCCGAATACGGTGTCTGACCATCCGTGTATATCTGAAGTTTCAAAAGTTAAGACCGTCAGCAGCAAAGAGGATCATTCTACGACCAATATCTCTTTAAAAGCGCATGGCTCAGGTACACTAAACGAAATGGAATTCTTCTCATGGCTCTCTGCTATCCTGTCTACGGCCCCAGAGTAATATTGGAGTAGCGGCTAGTTCTCAGACGAGGAAGGCGTTCCGAGAAGGATAGGAGAACTGTAGGGCAAGATTCAATAGAAGGATCTCGCAAGGTAAGGTCTACTCGATTATGATCAGTGAATTTTCCTAGTATCCCTGCACAGCAAGGTTGCCCACTGCAGCGATCTAAACAAGGACGTCGACAGTGCTGGACAAAGCGGCCACGACTTCCACTGGAAAGGGCAAATATGAGACCGTCACGCTAGCCGCTTTCAACATTGACACGCTTACCGGCTATTTCGCCAAAATGGCCAAACTGACGGGCTCAAGGAGCAAAACATGAACAGGGAAGAAAAATCCGACCTATAAACCGACTTCATTTCAGTGCAGGGTGGATGTTTATAGGTTGTGCTGAGCAGGCAAATGACGTTTTGCTGATACTGTGGTCATCATTCATGAACAGCATTACAATGAGCTATCTGAAGCGCTTAGCTGCTACATGGGGGCTGTACGCATGGCCGGGACGCTCTTGATGAAGGGAATACAAGGAGCGGCAGCGGGCTAGTGCAGACTGGGCCACGTGCGGTGCATGACGGTACGCTTCGTTTAGTTTGGAAGTCTTATATAGCTGCCATAGGACGTGAGACGCGCAATATCTGACTGAATGTCCAAAATGAAGTCGTTAGAGACATTTTTTAAAGGTCCTGCCGCTCGCCAACTCTGTTCAGCGAAGGCCAACTGATACCGTTCGCTTGTCAGATGACAAGGTCATTTTCATCAGGAAAAATTTCAGAATTCCAAAGTGCGCTGCCTAGAAAAACTGCTGATGGGCATGATTGTTTGAGGCCTACCCACAGCCAGCGCATGGAACCAGGGGCCCCCGGAACCTTTAGCAAAGAAGGCTCATCCTACATTCAGTTATACAAGGACGCTGTGAAGAGAACGAGTCTTCCTCATCAGAAGAATTATATATCCATTACGTGAAGACGTGCTTTCTTAGATAGATTTGTGTAACATGGTTTGCTTATTGAAGAGTGGTGGACGGATGAAGCTGCCAATGAAACGGAACTCTCTCTCTCGACAAGGTTTCCCCAAAATTGTTGCCCTAGTGTCACGGGTGACCAAAACTGGTTTTATAGAAAAGAGAAAGTTGTCAGGGGTCAAAAGCAAAGCAGGTTACGCTGTTAAGTACAGACCTCCCACAATAGTATTCCAAACGAGTAGACATCGCTTTTCTTTGAGTACGTGCCTGAACTCAAAACTTCCGGTGCAAGCCAACGAATAGGCAATCGTTGCTTCATGTCCTAGAAGGAAATTCTTGATCCACATTTCGTCGATTGTTTTCATAAGGAACTTCCTTGTTCCTAGATAGAATTTCCTTATTCCTGTTTATTTAATTACACTTACTTTTAACTTGTATTTCTTTGCTCGGTTTGATAACTCTCTTGAAAGTCCAAAATCGCTCAGCTTCACGTCCCCTTTGTGCACTAAGCAGTTCCTGTAACATCATAATTTTCACATCCGTTACAACACTACTTATTTTTGCATGAAATTTGCTACGATTTTGATGTCGCGATATTATTACAAGTTTTCGACAACCTTTTCCCAAACATGCTTTCCATGTGGTCGATTCGACTGACTTGGGATACTTATATTATCCCGATATTTTGAAGTTCATTTATTCTTTTTCGCACTATTATGAACGATGTGATGGCCTTTGCTGGTTGTCGCGACCGGGCGAGATGAAGGAGGGCATCGGCACCCATTCGCACCATGCAGAACGTGCGTATTAGAGGGGTTCACACCCCTTCTAAAGGATCCTGCTAGCTCTACTGCGGGCAGCAGATAGCTGCTGGCCCGCTGCAGCTATATGGAGCCTTCTTCCCAGATCGTATCAACCTATGCTCAGACTGTGCTATGAACAGCGAGAGATGACTTTTTGCTGCAATACAAAACAAGGGTATTGACTGGTATTCCTATGGTTACTACACAAGGGTTGCAATGCGAAAACCCAGAGTGATGCGAAAAACGAGCTGAGACCAGAGAAGCCGAGCAGCTTCTCGCGCTTCTCGTCTCTTCCATCGCTCGAACTGGGTCTACGGACAATTTGAACTCCCGAATGTGATGATCCTTTGTTTTTCTCTGCATCCTCGTACGTAAGGCTTTCTGTGGTCGTTGTGACCTCACTCATGCCAGCTTTTTACAAATGCTGGGCGTTTCATCCGCCTCGGAGTTCCTTCCCCTTGAGAAAGCAATATCCTGGCTCTTCACATGAATGCTGTACCATTCAATGTTTTTGCAGCCGTTGTCCTCTGTCTGTCGGCGTTACATGGTTTCGCAACACACAGATGTTCAAGATGTTGCGTAACCTTCCACCTGGTATTCACGGTGCCATGACGAGCGAAGCATGGTTTCATTCCTTAGCACACCTGATGCTTTCAAGTTTGTACGCAAGTCACGCCA